CGGTCAGTTCCAATCTGTGCTCAGGTAGTCCCGGCCCCATCTGAAGAGTTTTGGCCCCACCCCTCCTGATGAGGCTGACTCGGGAAGCAGTACCCATCACCTGGCTGAAAATCGTGTTCTTCCGACCACCACCCGCTACCTGTGCTGCTCCTGAGGCTTCTGCCCTGGACTTCCCGGTCCTGAGTTCTCTTGACATCGTGGGTCCCAGTTTGCAGGATTAGGCTTCTGTTACTGTCTCCACTTCAAGTTCTTCTCTGGCAAATTCTAGTTCTCTAGACATTACGTGAATCTGGATCTCGCTCTAGCCAGGCCCATCATGACTGAGGCTTCGCCCTATGACCCTGCCCTGTGGCTTTGTCCCAGCTATCTGAAGTTGCACGTGTTCCCCGTTCCCATGTCTCCTGTCCCCCATGATGACTGACCACCTGCAGGGACTCTTCAGCATCACCTGTCATATGCCCCAGCACTCTTTCTGTTCCACTGTCCACTATTTTCTTTTGAACCCTGGCTATGAACTATTTCCCAACCACTCCAAGGGGGAGCATAGCAAAATCATTAAGAGCACGCACTTTGGCATTAGACTGTTGGGTTCCAGCTTTGCCTATTTATACCCAGGCGACTTTGGCAAGTCACTTGATTTCTTTATACCTCATTTGCCATCTTTAAAATGGGTTTATCTGAGTGCTTACAGGGTTCTTAAGAGGATCTGTAAAGTGATATTTGCAAAGTGCTTAGAAAGTGCATTGGCACCTGGTAAGCTCTATATAAGGATGCGAAAATTGTTACTGGTTTGCTAGGGCTGCCAGAACAAAAATACCACAAACTGAGTGGCTTAAACAACAGACATTCCCTGCCTCAGGTCTGGAGGCGGGAAGGCCCAAATCGACGTGTCGGAGGTTTGCTTTCCTCTGAGGCCTCTCTCCCTGGCTTGTTGATGGCCATCTCCTCCCTGTGTCCTCATGTGGTCTTCCCTCTGTGCGTGTCTGTGTCCTAATCTCCTCTTCTTATGAGGACACCAGTCATACTGGATTAGGGCCCACCCCCAATGACCTCATTTTAACCTGATTACCTCTATAAAGACCCTGTTCTCCAAACACAGTCACATGCTGAGGTACTGGAGGTCAGGGCTGCAACATCTGAATTTTAGAGGACCCAATTTAGCCTATAACAATAACTGATCATTTGTGCCAAGCTCCCTTAAGCTATGCACTTTGACTCTCCCTGGCAGAACCCCTGATGGCTTCCTACCGCCACCCCTCCTCCAGCATGAGGCTGGGGCAGCAGGCGGACATTCCTCACCAGCCCGGCCTGAGCTCCAGCCGCCATTCCTCAGTTCCCCGTGATCTGGCATTGTAGAGTAGGGGTCCAGCCTTTGGTCTCTTGGTCCAGTGTGTATTCATTCAAAATTGTCAGCAGTGAAAACCAGAAAAAGAGAAATCAGCTCACCACAAAAGGACGGCTCCACTTGGTTGTAGTTAGAAACAGAAAGAAAAGTTCCAGCCACCAGAGAGACCCCAACGGGCTTGCTTCCTCGGATGAATGCTTTGATCCCTTCAGAAACCCTGAATGTTTTACAAGACAAATGCTTTGACCTTCTTCAAATGAGTATTATCACTGCTCTTTAAATAGCAACTTTTTGTTTCCTGAAGATTGGCCCTGAGCTCACATCTGCTGCCAATCTTTTTTTCTTTTCTTCTTCTCCCCAAAGCCCCCCAGTACATAGTTTATATCCTAGTTGTAGGTCCTTCTGGTTGTGGCATGTGGGACGCCACCTCAGCATGGCCTGACGAGCGGTGCCATGTCCATGCCTGGGATCTGAACCAGTGAAACCCTGGGCTGCCGAAGCGGAGGGCGCGAACTTAACCACTCGGCCACGGGGTGGCCCCTAAAAGGCAATTTTGAAGTTTGCAAACTTACAACTACAGCATGAGCATCTGCTCCTTGCTGCCTATTGTGAAGTCTTGTCTTCCCTGCATATCATAAGGTCCCTTCTCCAGACAGCAGTTCCTGCAATGGAGGCCTCCCCAGTTATGTTCATGTATGAAAAAGCCTGTAATTTTGAGGTGTTATGGTACTGGAGTATGATGGGTGCCCAGCTACTGGCTGGTAAGTTTTATCTTCTCTCTTTCCTTCAATGCATCTTCAGTAAATGACAGTTTTATTTTAAATTCTGAGTCTCTCGGGCCTGGCCCCATGGCTGAAAGGTTAAAGTTCCATGCACTCCGCTTTGGCATCCAGGATTCGCAGGTTCAGATCCCAGGCATGGGCCTACTCCACTCACCAGCCATGCTGTGAAGGTGTCCCACATACAAAAAAATAGAGGAGGATTGGCACAGATGTTAGCTCAGGGTTAATCTTCCTCAGGAAAAAAAACAGGAGGATTGACAGCAGATGTTGGCTCAGGGCAAATTTTCCTCAGGAAAAAAAAATTCTGAGTCTCTGTCTGGTCTTGTTTCCACAATAATTGTTAACAAGGTAAATGCAGATAGTTCCTGTTTATTGAGCCTGTGTGATGTCCCAGGCAATGCTAAACACATTATTTCATTGAATCCTCAAGAGCTCCCTATGAAGTAGATGTTGTCATCCTCATCTTACCAGATAAGGAAATGAAAGCTCAGAGCAGTGGCAGAACTGGTGAGCGGCAGAGTCTGGATTTGAACCTGTGTCCTTTCGACTCCAAAGTCCAGGCTCCTATCACTCTGGGATTTAGGTCTTCTAAATCCCTCTGGCTCAATCATTATTTGTCACCAAGTGGGACTGCTCCTCTCCTCTTGCATTTTCTTGTTCTTACATAGTCTTAAGTATAGCAAGATGTGCCAGTGCGGATCTGCACTTCTGCGTGTTCAAGACCAGAAGGGCTGAGATGAAACAGTGAATCATCTGATGGGGAAACAGGTATCCTAAGAGAGGCGTCAGCTCGAAAGCCCTGACTTTATCAGGGACAATGGTTTCCTTTATTCTGCCCCAGGGATTGGTTTATACTTAAAATTGAGTTGAATGAAGTCCAGATTAAGTTAAAAACAAAAAATAAAATATAATGTAATAAATGTAAAAGCTCCAAGTAAATGATAAGAATTTTACCAAATGATTTGGAAGGAAAAGTCAGAGAATTAACACTTGCACGTACACCTGGCTGTGGTAATAATAGGTTGCTTTTCTCACAGAAACATGTCAATACCCTCACTCCAGACAATGGGCATTAGGCGTGAACTACACTGACTAATGTTACCTTTGAGCTTCATGGGACAATGTTCCCTTCCTCTTCAAGCTGTTCTTTCATTGCTTACCCAGAAGCGGCCCTCCCCCGGCCTTAATCACCACAATTAAACCAGCATTCAGCTGCACAGTGTGAAGGTGTATTTATAGCGAGTAGGTGCTTTATGGTTTTTAAATGGCCAGAAAGTGCAACCACACTAAAGTCAAGAGTGTGCTCCATGGTTTCCTACCAGCTTTTTGAAAAATTGTAGGATGGAGGAGATGAAAGCCTTTTGCCTCTCAGACTGCTTGGTGTGACTACAGGCGTTGTGGTGTTGTTAAGTCAGGAGGACCGATTGGGGTTCAAATCCAGTCACTTAGTACTTGGCTGAGCTCAGGCAAGATACTTCATTTGAACTTAGCTTCCTCATATACATGAGGAGTATCATCTACGGGATGAGGATGATAAATCTTACAACAGAATTGTTGGGAGGATTGAAAAGTGAACTCTGGGGAACCTTCAAAGGTAAGTGATCACAATAACACCGGCGTATGGTTAACCATCATGCATGGGCTTGAAATTCTACAAGTCAGTAATTTATTTCCAGCTAAAACAGAATCAAGTGTAAGGGTTTTATTAGAAACCAAATGGGATGTCAGGTTCTGACCAGTAGGAGTCGACACTGGCTCATCCACACTTATCTCCAGAAACAGTGAAACCCGCAGCCCATCCTCCTGCACAGCTGCTCCCAGCTGTGCACCCTGGCTAGGGCAGAGCGATGCCCCACACAGGAGACAAAGCTGAAACGTGAGGCGGGCAGGGAGCATCATTCTGGTCCTCTATAAAAGCTGCCCGTTACCTGGTGTCTTCTCACACCCCTGAAGAGCTGAAGGAGATGCAAGTGTAAATAAATTCTGTCTAATCTATTACCACAGTCCACATTCTTCAGGTCGAAATGTTAGTTGTTACCATTATTATTGTTTTCATCTCAAATTTGAACAGTCACCAGAACAAAATTCCTTCTGACTTCTGGTTTTCTCCCCTCCCATGGCTGCCTCGGACGGAGGAGGCTGCTGACATAGGCTCATTGTTGAGTTCCGCGGGGGCTGGAGCTCAGAATCAAAGGGAAGACCTTTTGACTCATGTAGCAGGAGTCCCAGAGTGAAGCTACTCTGTGATCACCCTAGGATTCAACATGTCAGAGCTGCAAGAAGAATGGCAGAGGCCACATGGTAGCCGAGAGCAACAGAGACAGCACCGGGGGACCCTCAGAGACAGTGAGAGGTTTGGAAGGGGGCCTCGAGCCCCTACGGGTGGGAGCAGCGTTGAAGTCCGTTTGCCTGGGAGTCTGGGGCTGGATTCAGAAGATGCATCATCACAGTGCCAGCTGATGCCTTTGCTGTGGCTCCTTCCCCCAGAGGTGGTGTTTGATAATAGGGTTTTGTGGCAGGCCATCCCCTCCATCCGTTCCTGATGGTCAGAAGGCAGGAGAGGCTGAGAGGTTGTCACCTGCCTCATTTACAGAGAGGCTGATCCATGTGGGAAATCCCAGTAGGATTCCACATTGTTTTCCCAAAAGACACAAATTCTACAATATGGCACTAGCATATCCTATTCACGGGGAACCATCTGCATGGTGCTGACAGTCTATTCTGTCCAGAAAGCTGTGGATTATACGTACTCCATGTTTCAAAATGTTGTCAAATACACTCTTCACTGCCCCACTTATGATGTTATACCTAAGGAGGAGTGAAAAGTTGAGCAAAGTGCAGAAAAAGAAAAAAAATAGCAGTAGGATTCTTGATTGCTAGCCACAAAACCCAACTTTATTGAAGTACAACGTACATACAGAAAAGTGCACAAATCGAAAGTTAACAGCTCGAAGAATTTTCACAAACTGAATACACGCAGATAACCAGCAACCAGGTCAAGAAACAGAACATCCTAGAAACTCCCTTTGTGCCCCTTCTGCTTACCATCCCCTCAAGAGTAACTGATATCTTACTTGCAACAGCAGAGGTTAGCTTAGCCAGGTTTCGAACTTGATAGAAACAGAATCATATAGTATGTACTTGCCCATCTCGCGGGTCTCACCCCATGCTGTGGATCATTCGTGCTCATTGCTGTATAGGATTTCACAGTGTGACTATACCACAATTTGATTATCCATTCATTTTGGGCATTTGGGTGGTTTCCAGTTTTGGGTTATTATGATTAATGCTTCTATGAACATTCTAGCACATTTCTTTTGGTGAATATATGTACACATTTCTGTTGGGTATACATCTAGGAATGGAGTACATTCAACCCAGGCTATTTCATTGAAGAATAAGGAGTTCATTGGATGGAGCTTGGAGGCTCAAAGAGTTGAGAAAAAGCTAGAAAGAAGACCTAAAAAGATGGGCGGGGATGAGACAGCTCAGTAGGGCCAAGGAATGGTCTTCTCAGGACACTGCCATCCCTGGACATTGTTACCAGTGGACATGCCATCCCTGCAGCCTACCAGTCCTAGACACCCCCACCCCCCCCCCCCCCCCCCCGCTGGGCCGCTGCCATCCCTGGACCACTGCAGCTCCCATGAAATGAACCTCAGCATCCCTTCATTTCTGCGTCACTTGCTCCAAGCTCACACTCCCAAGCAGGGGAGTCCAAGTAGTTCACCCAGGGTCACTGGCCACTCCCTGGCTGGTTGGTGCTGGAAAGGGGGGGTGCACCTGAGAGACAGGGAAGACCTCCCCACTTCAGCATCCACAGTGGAAGGGGTTACTGCATCCCACTGAATTTATATGTAAGGGGTGATTTCCCCCTAGAGGAAGAGGGGTCAGATGCTGGATAGCCAAACTGGAGACACAAAATGACAAGTGTCCACTACAAGATCACTCCATTTCATTCACCTCCCAATGATTGCTAGAAGGGGGACGGGGCTCATTCACACGTTGGCGCATCTCATAGCCCATGTACTCAAACTGGTCTTTAAGAAGACTGCTCTGAGCTCAGGGACACTTCAGAAGAGGCAAGCCATAAGAAATGCCATAGGTTTGGAAGGAAAAGGTACAGTAAAAGACAAGCATCTCACAGAGCAAAGTAAGGAAGAGAGGAAGAAAAAGAAAAAGAGGAAAAAAAGGGGAGGCAGAATATGGAGGGACAGTAGAAGTAAAAACACAGGGGAGAAAGTCTGGCGGAAGACTAGAAGAACATTTTTTTCTTGACCTGATTTATAGCCCGTTTCCATGCTGTCCCACTTTCTCCGCGTCTCTGATGTGCTTTTATGAATTGTGCTTTGCTTTATCAGGTTAATGATGTTGACATGGACCACAGAATAAAGAGACGCTGGTCATAAACCAAAATAGAGAAGGATTTGAAATCGTATTATCACGTACAGCATACAGTTCTCCTATAGTTTGAGCACACAGCTTCCTAACAACACTGATATTATCAGTGAGCTTTAATGCAACTAAAAATGGGTTTCAACAAAAGAAACAAAGAATAAGAATGTACTAAAACCATTTACAAGGGTAGCAAGTCATTAACTGATCTGAAATTATATTTGGCTCTTTGCAGATTATTCCTCCAACTGAACAGTGGTAACTTTGAAGTCATGCCTTCTTCCCTATGTTATATCTTGGCATTTAGTACATTTTATTTGTTTTAAATGATAATCAGAGCTTTCATCTGTGCAGCACCTCTCGATATCCTCTAGACAGAAAGGCGGGAGGAGGAATTACCATTATCCCCGATGTGCAGGTTAGAGCATCTCAGGCTCACAATGGCTTGCCCTCTATCACACAGCAAGCCGCTGTCAGAGCCAGAGACAGGGTTTCCAAACAAACGGAGCAGAACAAACTTAGACAAAGAGCTCTCTGCCCCCATGGTTTATTCTGTTCTTTCATCGGGGGTGGTCTGAGTTTGTTTAAGGTGGCGCCTGCGAGTTTCTCTCAGAAAAACCAAGAGCTGTCTAACCTTCCACTGGGGCATCCACGGATCATCTTCCATAAGCTGCCAGAATACGGACCAACAGGCCTCCTCCCGGAGAAGATGGGACACGAGCTGCCCAGTGGACCACAGGGCCAGTGCTTTGCAGCAGGAGGTTCAGGTCGTTTGGGGGTCTACCCACCTGCACCCAGGGAGACCTGGAAGGCAGCGTAGCTCACAGGTTCAGGGAGGGCTCTGGGCCAGACCACCTCTACTGAGCCCCCGTTTTCCCGCTTACCATCTATAACTTTGGGGAAACGACAGGACCTTTCTGTGCCTCAGTTTCCCTCTCTTTAAAACAGATGTACTCTCGTGGCATTTATTTATTGTTGGAGGATTAAATAAGTGAATACGTGGCAATGCTCAGATCAGTAGATGGCACCTAGTGGGCTGCTGCCCCAATGCCTCACTCCTCTGGGACAGGGGCCACCCTGTGAAAGCCCACGGGGCCTAGTGCTTTGCCCAGAATGGGTCCTTATTGACACAACCCATGTTAGAACTACTGAGGAGGAGCCAGAATAGGAGGGAGCAGGAAGAGGTGGCGTATGGAGAGGGACGATGGCACCCTTGGCCGGGCCAGCTGGAGCACGTAAACAGATGGCTGTCACGGTGTACATTTACAGTTAAGCCTGCTTCAGTATCCGCCCAGCATCTACACTTGTAGGAGGACCACCTCCAAGGTGGTCAGCGACAATCAGTGGGAAACAGAGGCCGGGGCCCTTGGTGGGGTCTGGGCCACATGGCCGCAGGAAGATACACACTAAGAAAACCATCAATGCTGTGGTTTCTTTTCTTTCTAGTAGGAAGATGGAAAAGCAGGAAATATGAACTTTCAGAACTGCTTATCTAGGCATGGAGGTGGAAATTTACCCATATATTTCAGTTGGTCAAAATGCTCTAATTTGGTACTGAATTACTGTGAATGGGGGTTGTTGAGTACAGTTTTTCTTTTCAACAAATATCCACTGACATATATTAAGTTGATATATTTAAACTTGGGAATTGATGTTTAAAAAATTTAAACGCTTAAATCCATATTTATCTTTCCTTGGCACATTTGTTATTTGGCTACAAAAATGTCTATTTGCTTTGCCAATAAAGAAAATACTATGAAAACAAAAAGAAAAGTGAAATTGAATGCAATGAAGAAAACCAATGAGAAGACGAGACAGGCCCCAGCGATCCTGGTTGGGCAGGGATGGGTGTGGGTGGAGCTCCCTAAAGCTAAGAGCATGCACGGTCTCCACCAGGGGTTTTACTGACAGAGAAGGAGATATTTTCATAACCGACAGTCAGAGAATGGTGCAGAAGAACTTCTTCTCTCGGAAGGGGTTTTCTGACGCAGGCACTGGGGTGACGAGGGGGTCTTCCCGCACGTGGGCTTCACAGTACGCCAGGAGGTCGGCAGCGGCCTGGGAGACCTGTGGGAGACACAGCACAGGCGCTGGGTTAAAGGTCAGTTCAGAGCAGGTCCGGTGCACAGGTGTCCATGTGGAGAGTGGACAAGTCCAAGGATAGGCTGTGTTGTGTTCAAGGCCAACGACAAGGCCATTCCCAGCCTGGAGAGAGAGTGTGTGCAAACCCCGAGGAGACGGGTTTGGAAATACGTCTCTGAGGAAAGACATGTTGCCCCAGTATGGCAGACCACCATCTAGAGAGGAATGAGAAGCAGCGTAAGGTCCAGACATCCTTGCTTTACTCTCAGTTGAGTGATGAGTGGATGATCCAGGCCAGTCGCCTCACAATTACTCTGCTAAATCATTTCTAGATGAATAAAGCAGAATGCTGGCCCTGACCAAGCCAGTGTGATTGTACTTATTATTATTGCTTGTTTTATTGCAATACAGTCTCATGAACAACATAGAGACACACTTTATCCTCCTCAAAAGAACACATATTATGGGGCCGGCCTGGTGATGTAGTGGTTAAGTTTGTGCCCTCTGCTTTGGCGGCCTGGGGTTCATGGGTTTGGATCCCGGGCATGGACCTACACACTGCTCATTAAATTACGCTGTGACGGCATCCCACATACAACATAGAGGGAGATTGGCATAGATGTTAGCTCAGGGACAATCTTCCTTAAGGAAAAAGAGGAAGATCGGCAACAGTTGTGAGCTCAGGGCCACTCCTCCTCACCAAAAAAAAAAAAAAAAGAGAGAGAGAGAGAACACATATTATAAGTATATCATATTTTAGGTTACATATTATAAACACATATGTTTTAACTCAGAATGGCCAATCCCCTGTAGAGAGTGTTGCTCCTGACCAGAAAGCACTTTCTCCACCATTTTCCTTCCAGGCTTCTCTGAAGCCTGCTAACACATGGCAGTTGTGCATCCAACGCTCCCCCTAGCTCAGGAGCAGGAATTCCAGAGGAGGAGCTGGTGGGAGAGGCGGAGGGCCGAGAAGCTTTTGCTAAGAGGAAGATGAAGTTAGCTCATTTCACTTGTGGTCTGTGTCACGTGCTCAGCAGAGGAATGGCCTGAGCAGTTACCTCATCCTGCCAATTAGGCTGTTCTGCCTGCAAGAGCTTATTAGAGGCCACAGGAAGGCATAAGTATATCCTTTTAGTACCTTCAATGTCTAAATTTTCTCTAGAATGACAAAGACACTCCACAAATGAACAAAAAATGTTTTAAGGCCTCCAGTGCGTACAAGCCACACACGTTCCCTCTAGGTTTTTAAAATCAGCCCATTTTCCAGAAATTCTTCTGATTTCCAGACCAGACTCACCCCAATTTAGCAGGCGGATGGAATTCTACAAATAATTCCAGTTGAGATATATAATGCATTTTTCCCTCAAACAAAACAACTAGGAGTTGAGCAGATGAGTCAACCTAAACTCTAAGAAAGTCCACATTTTTGGCAGTGTGGAGTGGAGAACGGGGTATCAACGAGCAGCAGGCTTCGGTTCCATTCCACCCCTAAGGTGGCTGTGCGACCTTCAGCAAGCGCGTCAACCTCTTGGGCTTCAGTTCCCTCATTGTAAAGTTCAGGAGTTAGATATCTCTTAAGTTCCTTTTACTCTAAATGGTCTATAATTCCGCCTCCGACAGCACCGTGGCCAGTATTTTAGACCCTGAAGAAGTGTCTGTTGGCTTGGGAGCGTTTGAAGTTTGCAGGGGTGTACAGGCCAGCGATACAGGAATTGCTCAGGTTAGGCGGAGGCTGCACATACAGGCCCCGGGGAGGGGCAGTCCTGCAGGGACCCTGGGAAGCCATCACAAGGGACTGTAGCGCAGGATCAGGAAGCTACTCTGAGGCCAACAAAGCTGCGATGGAGACACAAGCGAGGCGGAATCACACTGTGAGGCAGCAGCACCTGGGTGTGGAGCCCTGCCCGCAGCAGGCTTGCTGCACCTTCCGAAGCAAAGCCCAGCGCTCTCCCCGACTGCCCTGGTCATGACCTCCGTCCTCGCCACTCCAGAGAGGCACGCGGTCTCCTCCAAGGCCACCATGTTAGCGTGACTGTTGAACTTGTCTAGCGGCCCCTCTGCCAACCACTGCGAACTGGTGTTTGCTGCCCCGGCCAGCACACAAAAAGGTGGCCGTGCTGGAACAACCCCCTTCCTCCTCTAAGAGCCACCTGTCCTCCCAGCTCCGCTGGGTCTCAGTCCCTGGCTCCAGTGAGCTCTTCCAGATGGTTCCCTTAAAAAGGTCTTGTCTGACCATCATCTCGCTCTAGTTTTCATTTTCCCCATCTATTTCTATTTTTGGACATACTTTCGTTTGGTCTGAATTCTCTATAAACCTCGTTATCTCACATCAGAAGTATTTACTGAATCTCTCTCTTTCAGCTAATTGAGAGGATATAGGGGAAAGAATAAGGCAAGATTTTTGCCCTCTAGAAGATCGAATTGAGATGACTCAGAAATTATAAAGTTACTAGGATAATCAGTACGTGCTAAAACACCACAAAATAGTTGCACACCACGGCGGGAGCATGGAGAAGGGCAAGGAGACGGGGGTGTCTGACAGCCCCATCCAGTTCCACACGATGGCAGTTACCTTGGTAACAGCCTTTATCCAGAGGTGGTCCCCAGCCTTCTGAGCCCAGAAGCACAATTTTCTGGCATGCTAAGAATGGACATCTCTTGTGGCAGATCTAAATTAAACAAGTTCAAGAGACGGCTATATAAAACCACAATAAAGATAATAGCTAACATTTACTGAGTGCTTAGTATGTGCCAGGCACTGTGCCAAATGGATCGTCACGTGTATTACCACATTTAAGTCTTCTGAGTACTAGACTTAAAGCCACTTTACAGATGAGGAAACTGAGGCACAAAAGTTAAGAAAATTGCTCAAGGTCACATGCTAGTAAGAGAGAAGACCAGAATTTGAAGGTAAGCAGTCTGGTCACAGAATCTATATGCTACAACAGGCTCCTGATTAATTGATAATGAAAACTGTAATTGTCAAGTGGACTGGAATGTTCTCATCTGCCAGGCCAGCACTCTCTCTTCTTGTAGACCAGCTACTTGGGAGCTCACATGGCCAGAAGGAGAAGGGTCTGGCCCCTAAAGTCTCTTAGGTTATTTAATTTAATCTAGGGACAGCCTTGCGGGCAAGAAAACCCTTACAGCTAAGTCTCCTCATCTGGGACTTGCTTCCTCTCCCCCAATGCTGGGAAGTGCTTGGACAGACTCTACTAGTGTCACCTCCAAGACTCTCTTCCCTCTAGGCTGGGACCTACACACTGTTAAAAGTAATTAAACCAGGAGGCCATTAGGCTGAGGTGGCTCTAAGTCTTGGTAGACTCAGTAAACTAACCTAAACCTAAGCCAGAGTCAATGCACTGGAACTGGAGAAAGAGAAACTGAAGCACAACCGATCGCCGACAGCCAGCTAGGCTTTCCCAAACAAGGCAACGCTTAAGCCATAACCAATCAAATAATTTCTTTGCTATGCTTCAGCATCTTCTCTATAAAATCCTGCCCTTGCACCCATCAGTGGAGTACTCCTAACCACTTTTGGTTTGGCACTGCCCGATTTGAATCGATGTATGCTCAAATGAACTCTTGAAAAATTTTAACATGTCTCAGCTGGTCTGAAGTTGGCTTGCTAAATTATAATTACAGCTTCATTCCCCTTGATCAGTTTGCTTGTTCACATGCTTGTCCACGTCCATGGCAAGCATATTCGATTAGTTTCATTTCCTGAGGGCAACCGCAAGAGGGCGCTTCACTGGGGGCTGCTGCATCGTCAACCAGTTCATCAGGCCAAGGTACTGGAGGAGGGGACTCAAACAATGTCGCTTTCGGGGGCGGCCCAGTGAAGGAATGATGGGGCCGGGCCACATCCCCGTCTCACATCAGTGTATCTGCCCCCTCGCAGCCCTGCGTCTACGACGTTCTAACAACTATGCTGTTAATGTCTGGTCTTGATGGTTCTATGCAGGTCTAATCTAGGGATTTTTCTATCACCTCCAGAGGTGATACTTCACTTGATGCCACAACTTTTCTTTCAAGAAAACAAGCTCTATTCTTAGATTGCCTCCTTTTGTTGTTGCTTTAAGATCACAGATGCATTTGCTTAGTTACAACTACACTCCTGGATTGCGGAGTCCTGTCCGTGCACCTGTACAACGGGAATGAAATCATAAGGAAGCTGGTGTTAGCGCCAAGAAATAAGTGCCCAGTTTAAGACCAAATGTGTGGATCTGGGATGGTTCCATGCAATGTTAATTTCCTAGATGCACTCAGATTACTGAACCAATACTGTAAAGGATGGTCTCAGAGAGTGCAGATCAGCTGACAACAAAGGAATCAGGGGGCTTTTCCACCTTAGCCGTCAGCCCCCTTATTTCACGTGGTGTCCAATGTCCCCTTACTCGTCTGTAACCAAAGTCTCTTGGATAACCCTTGAAGTTTGTTGTAATAGGATCTGAAAAGATAAATATGTAAATAAATGAACATCTTAATGTGCCTTACACATGACACGTGACAACCTGACACACAGCTTAGTATCCAGGCGCTGATTAACCTAAACCGGCTCCTTAGATTAAGTGGGAGGGTTTTCTTAATTAGCCCTAGATTGATTTTTATGGTTGAAAGTTTCCTTCAATGCATATATTATGGGTTGCAGACATTGCCAAATCTCATAAAACATCTGCCATCTTTGAAACATAAAATAGACTATTTGCTTTCAAAGAGAAATTTTTATTCTGGTTGGAAATGTAAAACTCCCTTACTGTTTAAGCTTTCTCGTCAAGCCTAAAGTCTGCTTTATCTTGAGTCCTGTGTTATGAAATGCCCACAGCGTCTCTGCCTCCTCTCTTTAGTATTGAACTGTTAAGAGTTACAAGACAACAGATGTTAAAAAGAATCGGCAGTCTGGGAACAAGTGTGGAATTTTACCATTACATTTCAGAGTAAAAGAGGTGATTACAACAGCCCAAGTTAGCACATAATCCCGTTAG